TAAAGAGAAGGGTATCTTAAGAAGTTTAAATAAGAATTTAAATTTTGAATGATTATGATCCATTACAAAAGAAAGCTCTAGAGATTATTTTATTGAATAAATAGTATAAGAATATTACTAGTGAATCTTCAGAGAGTGACGATATTTCCTATCCAACCAAATAATCCAAGAAGAATAGATTAGATAAAGAATTAATAGATTTGTAAGGAGAACAATAACTTAAAGGACAAAATGATTAAATGATAGAATAAAACTACATCAGTGATGAAGAGTAGGAATTGAGCAATAGGTGATTTATAAAATATTAAAATTTTTAGTGTAAATTCCTTTTAATTACTAACAACTTCTAAGAAGAAGAGTAAAATTGAATATGAAGAAAATAGTATTCAGCAATATTGAAGTCCAAATTTATAAACAATTTTGAAACATTAAATATTATAATATAAAATTTTCCTAAAACTATTTTTTAGATAATTCTTTTTCATTTGACTTCTTCACTAATGTATCTAGCTCTATATTTACGAGGAGATTGGAACTTTTCTTAAATCTTACTATCAATTATTTATTGTAAGAAGAAAGTAACATGTGAATAGAAATCTTCATTCCATACCTTTTCAATAGGTTTAGGACATTTTTTTATTTCTTGTTAAGAACCAACTCTAGCTAATTTTTTATCTGAAAGTTAAATCTATTAAGTATTTTTTATTTTTTTATCATTATTAAGGTTTTTGTTTTCATCCTCATCTTTGATAATTTCTAATTTTATTAAAGGTTATCCTTATATAGGTCTAGGTTGATTTTCTAAAGTAGATTAATCAAATTCTAAAGATTTTTAAATTAAATTATTTGAAAATATTTTTTCTTTAAAATTTGAATATCCTTTTGGCACTCTAATATTATTACTGGTTATAAAATATATTAATATACTCGTAATTGTGTTCAGCTTTACTAATAGCAATTTCAATAGGTGATAATTCATCCGGATCTTCTCTATATAATATTTCACTAATAAATTAAATTTTTAATTACGATATATCGTGGATAGTCAAATCTGATTATGCACCAAGTTTTAATAAAGTTGTAGATATTCTAGCATTTCTCAAACAAATTTCTCTTAATTTCACTTTCTCTCTCAAAATTTATATTTCTTTTATTGGATCAATCTTTTCGATTAAAGATTTCTCCTCTAAAGTAAATGGTTAAGTCATTTGTCCCCAATGATACCATACTACTTCATCTCTACAGATTTTAAAACAATCTGGATATGCATATCCATGATCAATAGGTATAAGAATATAGTCATATGCTTATCGAGTTTGTCCTATGGGTTAATTCATTTTTCTAGAATCGGGTAATATATAAGAATTATACTTTTTTCTAACCAGAATATTTTCCTCATTTCTATCACAATTTAGAATTCTGATATCTAAAATGGCTATTTTTCTTGCTTCTTTAGATGGATATAATCCACTACCATAATTACCAACATTATCATCATGCTTAATATATAATTGAAATGACCCTTCTTTTATAGGGATTTTCTCATATTAAAATTATTTGTATTCTTCAGCTTCATGAAATGCAGGATGACATATTTATACATAATTAGTTATGGGAACTAATATAATATATATTAAACATAATTACCATTATGATAATGTCCAGATGATTGATCTATTAAATATGCTGCCACTTCTCTATCAACTCCTTCTCCTGATAGAATTCCTTATCTAAGTCCTGGTGAATTCATTTTGGCTCTCATTCCTCTTGGATTATTGGGACTATTTATGATTTTATTTTTTACGCAAAAGCTTCTTCATCATAAGGTTTAAAAATGGCCACTGGTTTATGATTTAGATCTTCCAAAATGTATGTACCTTGAGTACCAAAATCAGTTAATTTAGGTGTAATTCCTTTCATGAATGCTCCTTCTACTGCCCATTTAGCATTTTAAAATATCTCTTAAGTTTTCTTGGATTCTTCCAATATATTGTGAATACTGTTGATAAAATACAACTATTATCCTTATTTTCTAGCCATTAATTTTAGAGTAACATGATTCTTAATGCCATAATCCTGAAATGTTATGAGTTTATTTTTTTACTTCTAGATCGTAATTATTTAAGGAGAGTTCTTGATTTTTATAAAGAATTCTAAAATCTGCTAGATCTAATCTTGTTGTTTTGTGGATTTTCTGTTTCAATATTGAAATTTTCATCCAACTATACATTTTAATTGTAAAATCATTTCCCTTTTAAACTTGATTAGAAATATGTAACACCAATTCTGACTAAGCACGAGGGTCATAAGGATTTGAAGAAGAAAAGCCGAAACCTAATTTTTTGAATTATTAAATACTCTCAAATTTCCTCTTGACCTAGCCTTGTTTCATTGGTTTTAATCTTCAATTTTTTATAATAAATAATCTTTTGAGTTAACAGATATAAAAAAATTCAATAATTTTATTTTTTTGGAGATTAGTTTTCTATTCTGCCATCTGGATGGGTTATCTCAATTTTACCATCAGGATATTCAATATATTTAATCTTATTTACATCTACTTTTTAGAATATACCATCACTAAACAAGGTTTCTTCTTCTCCATTAGGATATATATACTTTTTAGTGCCATCAGAGAATCTTATTTGTTTTTCACCATTTTAGAAATGAATTTCAATTTAATTATTTGAAAATCTATAGATCTATATATATTAATATTAAATATAAATACTTAAGGTCCATTTTAAATTGTAATTTAAGTAGTTTTAGCTTATCCAAAATAGTAAACTATAGTACCATCAGGTAGAGTTTATTTTTTATCATTATTAGTAAAATGAACAATAGTAAATCCATTTGAAAATACTTCTCGTTTAACTCCATTATTGAATACAACTTCTTTTTTGCCACTTTAATATGTTCTTGAAATTTTTCCATCTGCTGATTGATTTTATTAAATGACTTTATCATCATGTTTCAAATAATCTAAATATTACATATAGTATTTATTATTTTGAAATTCAAATTCTGATTCATCTATTAAATCATTAATCATATCAATTGAAATAGTAGGTTAATTTTTTAACTATATTAAATCAATCTTAATTTTCTCTTATTCATAACTATCTCCATTTTGATAACTATTTTGATCATCTCCATTTTAAGATTCAAATTCTTCTTCTTCATTTATACAACCTTATTTATTATGCATCATTGCATATGAATTTACTTTATTTTCTGAAGCAATAGATGCTTTTGTTGAATAATTACTTTATGGAGGAGAAGATTAGGCAATCAATTTATTTATATTATGAGTACTTGTATTTTAAATATTGTTCAATTATTATTATTATATTTATTATTATGATTTCTCTAATTATAATTTTAATTCTTTTATTTCCTCATTTTATTAAGCAACTCTTTTTCTAAGAAAATCTAATTCTTCTAATTATTTAGTTGTTAATTATTGTTATCTTTATTATTGAATAGTATAATGTTTTTTTGTTATTCTTTCAATTTTTTTCTTTTCTTCTTCTTTCCATTTTTCAAATTCTTATTTTTCTTATTCTAATTATTTTTATTATTGAATTTTTAATCTTTATAATTCTTTTTATTATTATTCTAATTATTATCTCTCTTTCTTTAATTCATTTTTATCATCATTTTATTAGATAATACTTTCATCATTTTTAGTATGATCTAATATTGAATCATTTACTTTTTATGTACATTATTTACCTTTACCTTTTTATAAAAAATGAACTGGCAATTTCTTTGGTTATTATTATTATTATTATTATTCTGTTGCATTTTCATTATTCATTTTTAATATCTCTTAATGTTCTCTTTTTGATAATTCAGATCTTGTTTATGCATTAGATAAATATTATCTAGTTCCCTTTTTTAAAAATTCTTTCTTATCTTTTTTCTCTTCTTATACAATACCTTAATCTTATAATAATTATTCAAATGACTTTTAAGCACCTTTTATTGGTATTTCATCAAAGATATCTGTATGTTAATTTTGCTGATTTTAAGTTTCCTCTATAAATTCATTCATAAATGAATTTTATGAAACATCATGTTTTTATTCAAAATGTTTTTAACTTCTATTATCTAATTGTTATTCTTTAACTTAAATATTACACTTTATATCATCTTCTTTTCATATAAATATTACATACATATTGGGATATTTAGCTGATTATAAAACTTGGACATCTCCTACATTCTAGTAGATAAGTATTCTTCCAAATTCATAAACTACATATAAGAAATAAAATAAAATAATTTAAATAAACATTAAACATTTCTCTATTAATTAATATACTATTCTTAAAATTCTGAACCTTTAAATATTCGAAAGTCTTCCTTTCTCTATTTATAATTTTATTAAGAAATCATCTATTACTAATACAATTAACATTTGAAAAATGTAAAATAATAAGAAATTAAGAAATCTTTTCATCTGAAAATTAATACACTGATATCTTGTATAATGACATAAGACAATTTTCTAAGATCTTTGAAATAATTAAAAGATAATAATCTTATATAAAATAATAGCTTTAGATTATAAAGGAAGTTTATATTAAAAAATCAAGAAAAGGAATTCAGAGTCGTTCTTCTTTTCAGAATTGTATTTTTACTACTGTCTAGAGAGATTTCTACTTTCATTGTGTTTTTTAGTTTCAATCCAGTCGAGTTTCTCTATTATTTTCTATATTTTCCAAATCCTTCAGGAAAAGTGAGTGGAAAGATAATTGGAGAATCATAATCATTCTTTATTTATTCTATAGTAGTCTTTTTTGACTAATTTCTCTCTAATCGTGGTTAGTAAACTTCTTGAGTATGATTCACAATTTAAGCACAACCCATAAGTAAATAAATCTGGTAATAATATTAATTTAAGTATCATTTATTTCTGAAATATTTTGAATTGTAATTTATATAAATGAGTTGTTACATATTGTAATTGATTAATTAATATTTATATTTTCAAATATAAATTCATATGAATACCAATAAATCAACTAATACTTAAGAACTCTCAGATGAAGGTACTAAATTAATTTATAATCCTTTTAGAATTTATGAAACTTCATGCAAAATAATTCTATAAAACTCATGGATAATTGATTGGTAGTAAATAGTCTTACATTCCAATTCCAAAAGATAGTAATCATAATGGAAAATTCACTGATGTAATGATATTATTCATTTTAGCACTTATTAATGGCAACAATGTATAGAAATAATAGTTTGAATACAACTTGTGATAAGGAACGTTGGATAAATGGTTCAAAAGATTGGATGGAACATTTATAATGAAATTATAATATCCTAAAATCAATCTAAATAAAACTAAAGATAACTTTTAATGTTTTAAAATAAAACTCTTTTTTATATACTATAAAAAATGATCAATTTCTGATAAAACTTAATCAAAAATATCCTTTCATGATTGAAACATACATCCATCTAATATAAAATCTGAAGGCATTGAATTTCCTACTTTAGTATCACTTATGGTTATCACATTTCTACCAGATTTCTATTGTATTTCTCCACCTCCTAATTTTATTAGATACTCAATTTCAGCTTTTGATGGTGTTACATCAACTTTAACATGATATTTTCCATCAAATATCTTAACTAAATTCTTGTTAGATTCAAAATAAGTATCCCTACTTTATAATATTTACTCTATGCTTAATCCAAAAGAATTTATAAATTCATCACTATAAGGTATGTAATCATGATATTTTTAGATAGCCTTTCCTTATTTAATTGAATTAGTTAACCAATCCATTGTTACTACTTCAGCCCCTAACATCAAAGCACTTAGAAATTTAAATGTTCTTTTAGGAGGATTATTCAAAATTAGTAAATCAAATTTTTCTAATTGATTATTCACTATTTCTAAACCTAATTTTTTTAAATCATTTGCTTATGGTATTTCATTTGCTTAAAATCCACTAAAGGCTATTAAATGAACACTTTTAACTTTCTTTTATAATGTTTTTTTATTTCCTAATTTTTTATTAATTTTTAAGTCATTTTGTTAAAATATTTTTGTTGCAGGTAATTCAATAGAATTAGTATGTCTTAATTTTTATTTTGATTAATTAGATTCTTCAGAAGTTTCATCTGAAATTTCATCTGTTATTTTTTTGAGTAATGCTACTTTCTTCAAATCATCTTTGCTTTATTTTTTTCCTTATTTCCAAATAGATGATGTTTATTTTTAATTTTAATTTTAAACTTTAATAGGTGTTTATTCTTATTAATCTTAAGATTTATTTTTATCCTCTTAAGAATCATCATATCTAGTATTTAAAATATTTGATTTAGGTTAGGGAAACTTTTTAATTGTTTATTATTATTATATTTATTAATTTGGTAATTCAGGTAAACTACCAAATAAATCATTTAATTCAATTTTAGAATTATTATTATCTTATTTTGATTATGTAATTTATACATTGTCTGATTAAATGCTATTAAAACGTTTAATTTAAGATTATTCTAATTTATCAACACTTTTAATTTATTATGAAGAAAATGCTTTATTTAAATCATCATCAATCATTGTACCTTTAAAATCAGCTTTTTTGTTTAGAAATTATTAGTTATTTTATTAATTTTGATCAATATTTTACATTTGGGAATCAATAATTGTTTATTCAATAAGTGAAGGCTATTAATGATGTTAATCAATCTACTATGAAATTTATGAAGTTTATCTTTTAGATTTAAAAAGATCACTAAATAATGTTCTAGTTTTCTATAATTATGGTTCTACTTCTATGATTTCTGTTTAAGTTTATGCATCATTAGTAGTAGAGTGAATAGATTTTACCATAGAATTTATTCCTGAATATTATGAAATTAATTCATTTAAACTTGATAATGTTGATTGATCTATTTCATCTAGAATTAATGTAGATGTTACGATTGGATCTTATGAACTTAATACTTAAGTTGTTGACATTTATTAAGTGATTGAAACTTTAGGTATAAATTATTATGGAATATCCAAGATATCATCTAATGCCATTGTACCACTAAAATCTTCTAAGATTTATGTAGTTTGTAATGTGCATTAATTATTTTACTATATTGTTTCAATAGAGTTAAGTAATTTGAACTTAAAGTTTTAAAAATAGTAATTTCTAAGTGGGACCATCTCTATTATGAAATTTTTGGGAATTTCTACTTTTTAATCTGATTTTAAGGTTGCTTCTTTATAAACTTAATCTGAATTACTGAAATGAGTGAAATACACATCATTATTAAGTAAAGCCTAAATTTCTAGAATGTAGATATTACGACAGAGAAAAGAACACCTTGTACATTTCTAATTAGGTATTTACATTGTTTTGGATCACTACCAAACCTATTTTCTCCTTATAACAATCTATATTTATAGATCTCTCTATCATTCTGATCAAGAACTTATATCATAAATAAATTAAGTAAACTTAAAATTAATTGTAAAATCAATATATCACTCAACAAAATTAATTCATTTTTTTCTTTTATCAGATCCAAATAATTTCTGTAGATTTGTTTATTTATTAAACTAATAATTTGTAGTTGTTTTAGGATATAACATCTAAGAGATTTATTCAGTCTTAATTCGATTATTTTAGAATTTTGAACTTTAATTTTCAGGCAAAGTAGGTGTTCTCTCAGAACTTAATTACATTTTATTAGAATCAATCATCAATTTAAAAGTCTAATTTAATTATTTATAATAGTATACTTATAAATCAGGATGAGAATGTTATTATTGCATTGTTTTAGAATAAGCATGACTTATTTTTGAAGATTAAATTAGAGAAGATGATTTATTATTATTTTGATCATTTCTTTTTATTAAATCTTGAATATCTGATTTACCTTAATATTTTTATACTCTTCTGTAATCATTTGTGAAAATCTATTTAATATTAATAATATTAAATACTCCAATTCTTTCTGGTGAACTTTAATCTTCAGGTACACCTTCAAAGTGAAGTTGAGTAATATCAATTACATTAGATCTTTTAGATTTGTGTTCTGGTTTTACTGGTAAATCTTCTCTTGAATAATAAAAATTTTGAAGAATATAATTACCATAATTCTCATTATACTAAATTAATTTATTAATGTTACATATTCTTTTTATAAATTTATATTGTATTATTTTCTAAATTCTGCATCTCCTTTATTAAATTCTTCTTCATCGAAATTATATTACAAAGGTTCTGGTTTATATGGAGGTTTGATTTTCTTGTTAACTATTGCCTCAAAATCAGCATCAGCAAACCAAGGATGAGTTAAAATTTCAATAACTCCTTAAGTTTACCCTATTCTTTATGATGGGTCCTTCTCTAACAATTGATAAATCAAGTCTTTTAACTAATCTGAAATTTAAACATATGGAGGAAACAAAACTTATTCTGTCAAAATTGAATTGTAAATTTCTTAAGTATTATGTGAATAGAATGGAGGTAATCCTGTAACTAATTCATATAGCAATGCTCCTAAACAATAACAATCAACTAAATAGTTGTGGCCACTCTTTAGTAACATCTCTGGAGCCATATATTCAGGGGATCCACAAAATGAATAAGCAAAATCTTCTGCAGACATATTAGGTTTACTTAATCCAAAATCACTGAGTAAGAGATGTCCTTACAAATCCAATAATATATTCTCAGGTTTTATATCTCTATAAACTATATTTTATGAATGAAGATATGCCATTCCAATACAAATTTCAACAAAGTAATATTTAGCATCTTATTCACTTAATCTTTTAAGTTTTCTTAAATGAAAAAATAATTCCCCTCCTGAACAATAATCAAGTACAAAGGCAATATAATATTTTGTTTCAAATGCAAAATGCAATGGAGTGATATATTAATTATCCATATTAACCATTATATCTCTTTCATTTTAAACAATTACTTCCTTTTGATTTTCCATAATGAAACTCTTATCAATCAATTTAAGTGCATAAAATTTTCCATTGTCTCTCTTTCTTACTAAATATACTCTTGAAAATCCACCTACACCTATGCATTTCACAAGTGTAAAATCTTTCAAAGTAACTCTTTTTCCTGAAGGAGGCTAAGCAATTAATGGCTATAATTGTAAAGTTATTCCTTAAAACACATTTAATGACAAATTTGGTAGACTTAGATAATAATCATATGGGACATTCTTTTAAACACAATAAAATTGGCATATTTTATTAATTTCTAAATTCAAGTATTATAGAAAATACCTTATTAAATTTGATTTTCTTCAGTTGATCCTGTGCCTCCACCTTATTTAGCAAATGATTATTCTATGCAACCTATTTGTTGGATCAAATAATTATATAGGTTATCAGTTGTTTTATTTTGATAATCAAATAAATAATTGTATCTAAATATTAAATATAAATTACTTTTAATTCTTATAAAATAATACAATTTTTAATTGTTTCTTGGGGTCATAATGATTTGATTCTTCAGCTCTATTAATTTTTTTAATTGAATCATTCTTTTATTGAGTAGATTAATTGATTGAACGTAGTTCAGTTGAGTCAACTCGCTTAACAAATTTTTTTGAATCTCCTTTATTTTTAGAAAGGATATATTCAATTGATTATTTTAATGTTTGAGATTCTTATAACAATGAGTTTTTGTTAGCCCTAATATTGAAATACTGCTGATATTCCATATAATGATTATTTTTATATTGTTTTGCACTTTTTATTTGAATGTCTTAAAAGTATTGATCTACTGTAGATTTTGGATTCTTATAAGGGTTTTAAGGTGTTTGATTCACTTTGTTTTGTTTGCTAATTAACTTCTACTACTTCGATTCCATCTATATAGTAGCTAAAGAAAGATTCTTTCCCTTGAGAATTTATCGCTTAATATTATTTCCTTCATCTGTATGTATCCTTTAATCTAAAGACAAAGGAATTTAATGAAATTGCCCATTAAGAGTTTTGAATCGCTCACTTTTCTGACTATTCAAATTGTCAATGGATCGATTTTATTGAAGTTATGTTTTAATACTATTAGTTACTTAGGTTAGAGTATTTCGTTCTTTTTTAAAGTATTCCAACAAGTCCTGTTTAGTGTTTTTACCACTTGTTCTTTCAGTGTTGGCTATTTTGATGTTACTTTTTTTGGGTTTTAATTCCATATAATAAGGAGTGTCTTATATACTCCCTTTGTCACTTTATTATAGTGGGGGTGATGTATAATTCTTCATTAACGATATTTATATATTTAATTATAACAACTATGATGGATGAACAAGGCGTCTTAGTTAGAGATCTATTAGTCAATGATATTAAGTCAATCAAGAAGACACTTAAAAGTTGGACAAAAGTGTTTACTTAAATAATGGAATTACAATTATAGAATTCTAAACAACAAAATCAGAATGTATCATACTACTTAATAATATATAGACTATTCTCATACAGCAGATATTGTCATACTTCTCTAAACCAAACAAAAAACCACAATAAATGCCAATCTCTCCTATTCGAAAGATGGTACATAAAACTGAGCCAGATGATTTCTTTCTCAGAAAATTCGAAGATACAGATATATACAACAATGAAAACCTTTAAAATGAACTAAATAATCCTAAAAAGGTTAACATATTCATATTTTAGATATCCATAGTTAATTATTAAGGAACCCCATTTGATAGTGCTTATTAAAGTATAAACAGAGAAATGCAATAATATTATGAACCTGAAAATTAAGTGACAGAGCCATCTGCAGAAGTCTTTTAGAACTTTAAAAAAATGGGGCAGTAAGGTGTTAAAGCTTCTCTCAATATGGAAGGATTTTCATTACCTTAAAGTACAAAAAATAACACTGAACGAAAACAATTTATATAACCCTGTACTCATTCATCTAAATAATTACAATTATAAGAATCTAAAGAAAATATGAAAAACTCTAAATAACTTGAAAACAAAAAAATTAAAATTAAAGATTAAAGATTATCAACTGTTGTTGAGGAACCTTTAGCATTTTTGAATAGTTAATAAGCTACTAAATGTATAATATCAATCTATTATTTTAGAGGTTCTTCTTAATATCGGAGGATCCCAAAATATTGTCCAATCTTGTTAAAATAAAAATTCTTTTGCAGGATTTGAGTTTTAAATACCGTTGTAGTAATGTATTTCTAAAACACCAAACAATAATACAAAACCATAAAATTATTTTGCAGATAATACAAGATCAGGCTCTAAGTCATTGTATTAAAATAACATTCCTTAGAATATACAATATATTAACAATTCCAATAATAAATAAAATCAAATTAAATATGAGTACCTTAGTTCAGTATTTAAATTTTCCCTATAATATTTAGAGAGCTAAAAGTTTTAGTGATCAAAATAGCAAAAGAAATTAAAGTAAAAAATACTTAGATTTAGAATTGATTGATAAGTAATATGAAAATAGTTAGGAGATCCTAAAAAAAACAAATACTATGCGCAAAACATGAAAAATTTATTTAAATTTTTATCAAATACTAAATTTATTCTTCTGTTTAATTTTCATTAACTTTATATTATATTTTAGTTAAATATAATATTACTGTTCTAATATTATTATGATAAAAAGATAAAAATTAATTTTAATAATAGCTGAATCATTAATTTTAACTATTAGAGTATCAAATAAATAAATATACTAATCTAAAATCATAAGACTAAATAATTTATTTATTTTAATTATGATATACAGTTCTTATTTTTCTCCATTATATTTTTACTACTATTTATTTTTGATTAAAAAATAAGATATTATTAATCTGATAATTGTCCTAGAATATCTTTTTGAAGTGTAAAAATATTTATCACTTTATATAATCTTTGTATTTCTAATAAAATTAAAAAGTATTCTAACTCATATGATTGATTAAAAGCACATATTAATATTCTATATGTTCATAATTAATTATTTATATCATTCATACTAGCATTCACTTATGTAAGTATTAAGTACATTGATTTTAACGAATAAAATATATTAATAATGACTAACTTTATTGAAGAATCAATGATTATTAATCATCTTACATCTCCATAAAAATAAAATAATCCAAATTAATCACCTTTACATTTGACTCCAATACTCCCCAATTCTTATAATCATTAAAGCAGACAAAGCAGCAAAGCTAATTTACTTGATCTTCAAAATAATAAAATAGTTGATTAATAAGATTCAGAGAATGTAGATAATCCTATGAGCAGCTTAGTTGATTTAACACAAGATGATGCTAAAGAGAATGAGCCAGAGCTTGATGTAAAATAAGTCTTAACTGAAATAAATGATCCATAAACAATTTCTTTTTGGAATTAGATGAAATTTAGACAAGAAATCAAGCATAATTATAACCAAAGTTAATTATCATGAATACTGCTAATACAACCCATCATTAAATAGAGAAACACAAGTAAGTTATTTTATAAATTGGCAATAAAAACTAAAATCAACATCAATAATCAACTATATAGATAATTGAATAATAATCAATTCAATAAGATGTTAAGAAACCAAAACCAATTGATAAGAAAATGATTGAAAATTTGAAAGAGATTTTTATATTTTATTCAAAATAAGCAATAACTACAAATAAATATAATACCTTTGATAAACTATAATAATTATCGAGCATTATGATTTTGTAAAAGTTCATGTTTTTTTGCAAAGATTTTGAACTCATAGATTTAGAAATTACCAATGATTTGATTCTTAAACTTGGTGGTAAATTAGATATAATAATAAATAAGAATAAAAATTAGTTTAAATTCAATCATAAGTAAAACTTTATATTAACTAAATTTAACTTAGTTGAAATATATAAAAAATATGCAAATTCTCAAATGGAATTGACATTAGATAATTTTTAAATGATTATCATCAAACTTTCTTAATTAATCTTTCCAGAATAGAATGATTTATTTTATGAATATTTGGGTTTAAACAATCCAAAATAATATAGAAAGAAAATGTTAATTATAGGTAAACCATTTAATTCTAAAGAACAAACAGAAATTTTAACATAGGAAAAACTTTATGAAAGAAAGATATATTTACCTCCAAAACCAAAAATTAGATTTGAAAGTGTTAAAAAAGAAAGACAAACTATAGAAATTTAATTTCCAAAAGTTAATTTGAGTGCAAGATGTAAGATGAAATAAAAATAAGATGAAACTTTTGATAAGAATGAAAATTATATTAATTGGGATGATTTAGATTATTTATAATAAAATTTTGATCCAAAATAATTTATTTTAGAATAAGACTTAATTGATAAAGAAGATGATTATTATTTATAAGAATATTAAAAACATGGATAAATTTAAAAAAAGAAAATATAAGATTAAATGATCAATTTAAAATAGTTATAAATTAAAATTCCTCAATTTTCTATTGAAAGCAATATCTTAAGTTCTCATAATAATAAAATAAATAATAATATGTTGACTACTGGAAATACAAGGCCTTCAAATAACAAATCATTTGATTTTTATGATAACTAATAAAAAAAGAAATCACTTGGCTAATCTCCTTAAAATATAGAACTAACCTGTTTGGAGAAATAAAATTAAATTTATAGAGCATTTTTGAATTAATAATCTTATAGAGAAAGAATGGTTAATAAAAAAAAATTATTTTTGATTTGACAACATAATTAATTAATATAATATATTTTTAACTAATTTATTTAAAAAAATGTACCATATATGTAAATTATCAGTAAATCTAGTAATGTTGATCGTTTTATTTCATTAATTCAATAAGATATTATTAATTTTAATAATAAATTAAGAATAAAAATTTCCTTAAATAGGTATGAGATTTAAGCTACAAAAATAGTAAAATTTTCATATATAATGCTAACATATAATTGCTTCTTCTCTCTGAATGGAAGTTTTTTAATTGCAGTCTTTTTGAATTCATATAAAATTCATACAATTTTCATTATCGTTAATATATAATAGGATATTAGAATCCATCCAATTAATCAATTAATAGTAAATAATAAAGTAAAATTTGAATTAAATATAAATTGTTTTTTAGTTAAAAAGTAATTTATTATTTTAAGATAAGTGTTGTAATTCTTCTTTATTTAATTAATGAAACAAGAATATTCCTATTTCCAACATTATTATTTAAAAATAGTATAAAGTTTTTAAAGAATGGATATGGATTCAAAGTGAGTATGATTAAAATACAATAATTTTATTTATTTAATTGATATTTGTTATTATGGATAAAATAGCCTTGCAAGGGGAAATTAATTCACTGAAATTAGAAAATATGAATTTGAAATTTCAATTAAAAACTCTTTTGGAAGAAAGGTAAGGTGCTTTAGGAAATAATGAATAGTAAATTAATTATGATGAAAGAATATTATAACTTTAAACAACGATTAATGAATTAAAGAATAAATGTGATGATCTTATTTATAAGAATGAAGTGCTTAATGATGATTTGGAATATGAAAGGTATGAAAGTAATAATATTTTTAAAGGAATAAATCTTAAAATCTTACAATATTTAATAAGAGGGACTTTAGTTCTCCTAATTTCTAAGAGTAGATTAATAATTTAAAGAAGAAATTAGAAGTAGATTATAAGAATAAAAATCAATACTCTGATGAATTAGTCAAAATAATTGGTAATTAATATGAAACAATTGTTTAATTGGATTTAGATAAATAAAAACTATTGACTAAATTAAAACTCTAAACAAATTCAGGTGTAATAATACAAGATGAGGATGATTAATTGAATATTAATGATTTAAAATAGAATCTAGAATAATCAAAAAGATAAATAATAAATTTAGAGTAGTAACTTCATGAAAAATAATAATTAATTGATGAATTAAATTAAAAATATGAAATACTATTTAATCAATTCTAATAATAACAATAAGTACTTTAGAAAAATTAAGCAAAACCATCAATATTAGATACACTTCAAAAATCTATTATTTAAACTTAACCTAGCTATGATATTCATCAAAGTCATTTTAGTAAATCAATAATCTAATCTAAATGAGTATAATTGTTATTAAATAATTTATAAGAATTTATAAAATTATATAATGTATTCTAAATCAGATTAGAAGATTACACATACAAATGTTCATTAAAGAGGAATGTTATCTTATGAAAAAAGACAAATGAGTTTCAGGGATGAATTTGATAATATTGTTGAATATCTCAAAAAGAAAATATTATTATTAACATAGTATTAATCATAATAGACAATTGATGGATTAATGGATTATGTATTTGATATCACAAGTCCATTGCTTAAACACATTGAATTTCCAATGTAAATTCCTTATCAAACAACATTTTGTGGGAAAAGAATTTTATAAACAATAGAGTTTTGGACTCTCTATTAAATCATATTTTATCTTTTAAACTAATAAAAGAATTAATATTTTAATCGTTTAGAAGAATTATTTTAAATTAGATTACATAAATGTTTAACAAAAGAATAAATTATAAAAACACATTAAAAAATATAGTAAATTGAATAAGTACAATAATTTAGTTTAAATTTTTAAAAACTAAATGAAATAAATAATGAAACTTTACAAACTCTTAATAATAACAATGAATAATAATAGAATTTGAAGAATTTTAAATATCCTTGTAAAAAAATTAAAATTATTATCAACAATAATAATAATCAAAGTATTATACTAATTTTATGAAGCTATCAAGAGGGAAGAGTTTTCAAATCAAACTTAAGTTGAAAATATTTTTGAAAATATTATTATTGATAGAACAAACAATGATACTACATTCAATGATAATTAGACAATTCAAAATTAGAATTAGAATTAATTATAAGTATTAATAATTTTAATTATATAGTTTATAAAAGATGATTAATTAAAAGTTAATTTTAAGAAAGAATTGTAAGAATTAGTAATAGAGAGTATTAATGATACGATAAATAATAATAATTAATGCATAGAAACTGAAATATCAAGAACTTAAAATCCAAGAAATGAGATAAACTAAGTAAATAATGACATTTAAAAAGTTTAACTCACTAGAAACTTTATATTTATCTTCAAATGTTGAATTTGTAGTCTTGATCCATAATGTCAACAGAAACAATTCAAATTCTCTAATTTAAGTGTTGGAAGGTGAATATGAAGGATAATTTGCATTATATTAATTTAAAGAAGCATAAGATGAAAAAGTGTAAAAGGAAGATTTTTATTATTATCAAAACTATCTTGAATATAGAAAAGTACGTCAGAATTAACCTATTGTTGTGATACATAAAATGCAAGTTAAAAAGGATTCATGAATAAGATTATTTATGTAAATAATTTATTACCATTCATAATCAAATAGAAATTCTATTGAAATAATATAAAAATCAAAGAATTTAATCTAATTCTTTAAAAAATAAAATGATTTAAAATTATTAAAAATATTTTGATCAGTTAAAACAATATTTTTTGAAGTATAAATAAAAATAAAAATTAAGTTATTTTATTGAGAAAAATTAGTTATGTCTATTTGATATTTAATGGTTACTTATAATTAAAAATATTAAAATTTTAAATAAAAATAATAAATGATAATCTATAATAATTATTGAACAAATCATAACAGTATCAAATTTTTAATATTGCTTTATCCTTAGATTCTAATGCTTTCTCAAATTCCTCTAATGAAAACTAATTTTATTAACTAAATTTACAATTTAAGTTGGCAATGTCTTAAAATATCCTTAAATATTATTTAAGACTTCATTCATCATCAATTTTAATTGAATGATATTTTTACTTTATAATGTATCTACAAATGAAAAACTATTAATTAATAATTACAATTACCCAAATATTTTTTTATTTTAATACATCAAATTTGCACTATAGATTCCATCAAGTGATTTTTTAGAATAATTTGCATAGAGATATGCTCTTGATCCATTAGGCATTAGATTCAATATTCTACTTAATAGATCTCCTCTAATCGAATCAAATAAAACAGTTGTACTTAATAATTAATAATAAGATTTATACTTATATGAAGATGACATTAATTTTAGTTTTTCATCAAAATCATCTTGATTTATATTTAATATTAGTTTAGCTCCTTCATCTTTTAATATTTTTTCCTCTCCTTAAGATTTAACAATATTAATGACATTTATTCCTTTATATTAACAATATCTCATTAACATTCTTCCAAGATTAGTACAAGCACCAGTTGAAATAATTCCAGAAGCATTTCCAAGTAATTAATACATCATTAAAACAGACAATGGATTAATAAAACTACAACAACCTTCTTAAAATGAAATGTTTTTAGGCAATTCAGCACAATAATTAACATCTGCAATAGCATATTAACCATAAGCTCCAAATTAATGTTCTGTATAAAATGCAACTCGATTTCCTTTTAATTGCCAACCAAGTAAACCTCCACTAAATATTTTAAAATTCTTAAATTACCCTGATGCTATTACTGTACCTGATCCTTCAAATCCAGGAACAGTATTTACTAATGTTTTTTATCCAATTTTATATCCATTTAAGAATTCTTTATCAAATGGATTAATAGGAGAATATTCAACCTTAATCAATACTTATCCATTTAATGGTTAAGGTATAGGTATATTTTTTAAATTTATTGAGACATTGTCTTCAATATATAAAGATTTCATCATTCCACTCATTATTGTGTTATGAAAAATTTAATAATAATTTAACAAAGTTTAATTCAATAATATATTGAACGAGAAATGCCTCTTGTAGTAACATCTAAATAATTCTTTTATTTTGGATTGTTTTTATCTTTCTCTTTTCCAGCCCATTATACAATCATAGGATATTATCCAGGACCTGGTACAGGAACTTATTTGGATTTACTTTTTTTAGGATCCTTAAATCTATCTTCTCTTCCAAAATTCTAATTAAATATTAGTTAATATTTACATGTTTATCAGACTTGTCTTTCTTTTTTGATAGTTATTGTAATTTATTAAAGGACATAAATTCAACAGGTTCTGGATTATAAGTACCTATATCTGGCAAACATGATTTGCCTCTTTTTCTTTCTTATTCTTTGTGTTTTGCAATTTAATCAGCTGGTTTAGTTTCATTAATTTTTAGTTTTTTCTCAATTCTCTATAAAAATGTAACAGTAATAATTACATGAGGATTATAATTTCCAGGACCTGGATTTATTACAGCTAAATGTTATATTTCATTTAAGTAAGTTGGTCTTTCAACTGGTCTATTTAATAACAATAGAACAAATACGCTATTTTTTTCTTTTTTCCTTCTTCAACTTATTTTAAAACATCCTCAAGAGTAGGTATCACATTATATTTACCAGCTCCAGGTATTCCTCTAACTTTTGCTTCTTTGAATATTTAATCTATAAATGTGCATCTATTTATAAATACATTTTTAAAATATACCTTTTTTATGGAGCACTTTTTACTCTTCCTTCTTATTTTAATGGAACCCATGGCTTAACAATATCATATTTATTTGGTGCAGGTAACTTCTCATATAATTTTTTCAAATCTTCTAAATAATGACCTCTTTTTGTGACATGATTTCTATTTTTTTAACCTAAATCTTCAACAATATATATTACCCTTTTTTTAAGTTAAAAATTTTCTTTCTTCCATTTATTTAATTGGATCAACGTACTTTTTTGGAGCTTCATATCCTTCAATACCAAAAGCTGAAGTTTGTCTAGTTGCTATTTTAAACATATCCTCCATAGGAAAGTCTAGTTTATTTACTTAAGATACCAAAATTAGGTGCTGCTGATTAAGCTCTTTACATATTAAGTTATTATATATATTAATTAAATAATATGTGATTGATAAATAAGTATAAATTAATTTTTTATCAAATTAGAATAAATTTAGATTATTATCTAAACAACTAAGTTAATCCAACTGAAATATCTTATAATTATCTTGATTAATTATAAAAAAATGAATAGAATAATAATATTTTATAAGCAATAATAATAATTATATTATAGAAATACTAATAAATTCTGGTTTTGTTAAGAATATAAATTATCATCCAGATTTGTAATTCTGTATTAAAATATGTAATAGGATTCAATAAACAAGAAAGTTTATTATAAAGAAGTTTGTCTTTAAAAACATTAGAATTCTAAGATTCTATCAGCAAAGTTTGTTAAGGATAATAAAAACATAATTAGTATAGGAAAAGATGATCATTTTATTAAACTTGAATAATAGGATAAAGAGTGGATATTTAAAGAAATTATTTTGGAAAATTAATAAATATAATGTTGCACTTTCAATTAAGGATTAGGTAGCTTTATTTATGCCCATAAAAAAGGATAAATTGATCAATTAAGTTATAATTAAGAATAAGAGAAATGGGTATCAAAAACAATTAGAGAATCTGAAGGCAATTAAATTCTAGAATTATAATTGAATAATAACTCAACTAAAATGGTATAATGCTTATATGATTTTGCAGTTATTTTGGAATATTAGAATTAAGAATGGATTGAAACATTTTCTTTGAATGAGACTTTTACTGAAGATGAATGCATATTTTCAACTAGTGTAAGTTGTAATCGTGATTCCTAAGAGATAGCAATTGGATTTACTGATGGTCATATTTCTATTTGGAAATAAATAAACAATTAGTGGTAGATTAATTAAAGGATGGAATTACATCAAGGTTCTATAACTAAGGTGAGATTCAGTAATTCAAAAGATATATTAGTTGGTACTGATTCAAAAGGTAACATAATTATTTGGGAAAAAAGTGAATAAACTTAAAAATATGAGTTATAATGTCAGTATTAAAGTGATAAGAATATTGAAACAATATATTTTAACATAAATTCAAGTATACTACTTATTGGAGAAGGTTCATAGGTAAGAATTTTGAAATAGATAAAAGAAAATAAATGGGTGTTTATGTAAACAATAGAGGTAAAAGATATTGTTTCATGTATTGATATATCAAATGATAATAAATAATTATTAGTTGGATAAAATAATGGATTTATTAGTATATTTGAGTATATTGGATAATGATCTAAAAAAATAAATAAATTATATTAATTAAATATTATGAGTTAATTATCTACTTCTATATCTAAAATATTTGGAATAATATTTGTAAGATCACAGGATGGTACAAGACTATATTCAAAATACTACCCATAATTATTTCCAAAGAATTTATTAAGAGTACCAGAAGGTGTGCTTACAAATATTGACGTGTAAAAATAATTTGAACATAATGTATGGGAGAAGGGAAAAAGAGTTGGAGCTCGTTTGACTAAGGGAAGTGAAAGTATAATTAATGATTATGATTTTAAAGCTGAGATATTTCAATATTGTTAGTTTAACATTGTAATGAAGGCATTTAATGAAGTACACTTGTTTGTTTTGGGTGATTTTGAAGAAAATGAGATAATATTATCATAAGTTATAAATGGAATCTATGAATCATTAAATCATATAACAAAGGATCATATTAATAAGAAAACCTTATTAGAGAATTTTGATCAAGTAATAATTATAATTGATGAGATATGTGATTAGGGGTATATATTTATAATATAATTTATTATAGAATAATTATTACAATAGATCCATCAGTAATTATAGCAAGAGCAACTATGAGAGATACAGAAGCAATCAGTTTAGAAAAATAAGAAACAAGTGGTTCATCAGGAGGAGGAGGAGCATTTTCTTCAGTATTTGCATCTGCTAAGAGAACATTTGCTCAATAATTTATGGGATCTGGTTGAATGTTATTAAAATTTTAATATAATGAGAATAGAAATATATGTTGTTTAATAATATTTATAATTTTAAGATGAGAGGTTTATTACTTAAATTTAGATTTACAGAATAGATCTCAACTTCATAAGTTTAATAAATCAAGAGATTCTATAAAGATGTTAAAATTGAAATGGCATTTGGAGTGGTTAATCCATAAAATCAATGGTTAATAAAGGTATATTGAATAAAAATAGATGATTAGTTAGATGGGAAAATAGTAAAGACTCCATCCAAAAATGAATTAGCATTACCGACACCATAATTAGCTTAATGTATTGCTGATGAATATAACTAATAAACAGAATTTATTAATCCTATTACTATGCCATTAATGACATTGGCTAGAAATGCTGTTGATATTGAAGCAGATGAAAGTATGAGAGAATTTATGGAGCATTCAATTATTAGTTATTTAGAGAGAGATACTGTATTATTTAGAGAGTAATCACATTCAGAACTTTATTAAATATAAATGTAAAAATTAGACCCTCAATTAAAATTATTCAATCAAAAATTTGGTATGCATTTAAAGGCTAATTTTGGTTTGGATATAGAACCTTTAAAATAATATGATTAAATTAAAATAGAATCAATTCTTAAAGAGTTAAATAGTTGGCAATTAGTTTGTCTAGATTCTAAAGTTGGTATGTTTTTATTAATAATTAGAAAACTTAAAGTCATGTATTTTGGCTTTTCAAATCTGGAATAATCATATTGATATTCAAGAAGCAGTCAAATTATCAAGAATTGAAGAAGATTATTAAATCTCTTTAAATGGGAAAGTAGATGGACATCATGATATAGATGAAGATACAATCCTTAACAATGTAAAAGCAGCCAAACTATTTGCCTAACTTATTCAAACTTAAAGCATTACTTATTGATTTGTGGTTAGTTTTATATTCATATAATAATTAATATATTCATTAAATGTATAACCGTCCAAGTTCCAAAACTAGATATTAATAAGAACCTACTATGGATTCAATCAACCTTAAAGAAAAATAATTATATTTATAATCTAGTAGTATAAGTAAATAAATATTTCATTCATTTCCTATATAGATCCATTAACAGGTGCAATGTTGAGACCTGATTAATCATACAATTAATAGCAATATAATAATGCTAATTTTGATAAGAAAATAGCTCTATAGGCCAGCTCTATTAGTAAATTCTTAAACAAAAATTAGATCCTCTTACTGGTGCACCTCTTGTCAGAAATCCAATTAGTTATTAACAAGATCCTATCCAATAAAAATATCCATACTAAAGTGTTTAATAAAATTCTGGTGGCTATGCTACATCAGCAAATTAAATTGGATCTGGAGGCAATGGTAATGATGCTTAATTTCAAAAGAATTTGGTTAAATTTTTTGCTGCTGATGACCCAAATTAAATCTAATCAAAATCTTATAATAAAACAAATAATTCAATACCATCAGATCCTTAATTTTAGAAGAATCTTGTTAAATTTTTTGCTGCTGATGATCCTTCTTAGCCAATTAGATAAAATAATAATATTAGATAAAGTAATTCCAGGGCAAATAATAATGCATATTCACAATAATCATATCCATAATATCAAGGATAATAATCAAGAAGTTAAAATGATCAATAATTTTAATAAAACTTAAATAAATTCTTTGCTGCTGATGATCCCTCTTAAGTAAAAAAACATTCAATGTAATAATAATACTCTAGCCATTCATAATAATAATAATAAAGAAATCAATATTTTAATGAGGCTCCTCCTGATCCTAGATTAGTGAGTGATCCCAATTTTTAAAAAAATCTTAATAAATTTTTTGCTGCAGATGACCCATCCCAACCAAAAAAATAAGTAAACAAACATTCTTAATAATAATAATAAATTAATGCTATTGAACAAAATAAACTCTAAAGATTAGAATAAGATCCTAGATTCTAAAAAAATCTATAATAATTTTATGGAATTGATGGAGTATCTCAACAAAATAAAAATGGCTAGTATGAATCATTTTTTATTATTATAGAAGTGTTTAAGGAACTATTCAATAATAGAATAAGTCTACTAAAGTACTTGCAATTACTGATAGCAGTTCAGCAGCAAGAAATTAAGTGTCTGCATTCTTTAGAACAAGAGGCATTGATGATTTTGATGTATTTACAAATCCTGGAGGTGTGTTTGGGTTACAGAATAATCCTCTTTAAGAACAATGCTTAAAATAATATTTAGATACTATGAGCAGTGCCTATATTATTAAGGAAGTATATATAATTTCTGTTCTTGATAACAGTAGTGTAAATTTATAGAATTATTTATAGAATGCAAAAATATACACTAATGCAAATGATAAGAGATCCCATTAGATAGCTATTTAAGATTTAAAGGCCGTTTTAGAGAACAAATTAAGTGTTTAATATAAATTGCATGGAATTATTATAGATTAAAGAGGAGCATCTGAGAAAGCTTTTTGAAAAATATGTTCAAATTATCAATATAAATTATGTTTCCTAATTTGCCAGAACCTCATTGATTGTTTCTTTGTTTTCTTATCAGAAATGAGATTATTGGGCACCTAATTGTTATTAAATATTTTATCTTTTCTAATCACCATATTTGAAGCATACTAACCACAAGATCTTATAAAGTTATTTCCTTTTAATAAAACTCTTATTAATTACTTCAATTTAAATAATTTGTTTTAACATAAATAAATAAATCTCAAATGGTGAATTAAATATTAAATATCTCTATAAAAACTTAGATGAAGGTCAATTTGTGAATTTAATTATTCTCCTTTTATTTCTTACCTTTTTTAAACTTTATTGATAATAAAAATTTGAAATTAATTTGGGAAACATCATCAGCTTTCTTTATAAAACTATTAGTTGTTCTAATAAAATTAAAATAAGTTGAAATTCAATCTAAATAAATTAAAGATAAATTAATATCAATAGTTACTTTATTATACTTTATTATAAAATATAGATTTTGATTAATCTACATACATCATCAACTTAATATTCCAATACCAAAATTATAATTTAGACTATTTTGACAACCTAGATTTAATAATTGATTTAAACTATTGATATTTATGTTATTTTTTCTAAAATCTTATTCCAGTTTAACAATATTTTAAATCATGATTATATATAAATTAGAGTAGAATTGTGAATATTTAATAATAATAAATTAATACTTTTTATCCATTTATCCAATTAGTCTGGCGTTATCAAAGCAATAAATTTCTTTAATAATTTAATTTTGTATTTACAATATATGATTATCATTTTATTATTATAATGCAAAATAAATAAATATTTCTAACATATACTTCAAATTATCGAATTAAATAGCAACTGTTAATTAATTTAAATAGAACATTAGATCATGTGTAGATATAAGTTATACATACATAACTAATTTTTTGATCAAAGCAACTTTTTTTAATTATGTCATCCTAAAAAATTAAAAAGAAATATATATTGTAAAATTGTTTATCTTAGAATGATGGATGAAAATTGAAAAGATATTTTGAAAATAAAATACATTTAACCTAGTGATTTTCAAATATTTTCTATAATTATATAAATATTGTTAATTCATCTATTATTTACTTGCTGAATTCCAAATAAAATGATTTATAATCATTATTCATTTTTCTCAATTGAAGATAATTATTTTAAGATATGAAATACGCTAAAATTTCAGATGACACACGAAGAGCTTTCATCGAAAAAGTACAATAAGGAGCTTGTACAATAAAGCAAGCAGCCAAATAATTTGGAATCAAATTCTCAACTGGGAAGGCAATCCTCTCTCTTTATAAACATGAAGGTCGTGTGGGGAAAAAACAAAAGAGGAGTAGAAAATTTAAAAAAGAATTAGAAGAATAACAATAATAAACTTTTAAATATTTAAAAGAAATACCGTCTGTAGAAGCTAAATAAGTTTAGGAGGTTTAGAACTGCCAAAATAATGAATCATATATAAATTCTTATTATCCTTAGTATTAGAACTATCAACAATGGTATTAAACATAAATATGGTTATAATACATGAATGGTCATACTTTAATGAACTATTATAATTACGGAAATATTATCTGATTATTAATATATATTATATGATTAAAAAGATATCTTGATAATTAATGTCAAACTAATAATGATTTTCACATAAAACTTGAATGAATAAATAAATGGTGAAAAGAGAAAGATAATTGCCTTAAAAAGAGGAGATCCTTAAATAATTTAATTAAAAATGATAAAAATAATTTCATTGATTTTTTATTCCCAACAAATTTTAATTATTACTAATCGTAAATGCTTACATTCAATTCTAAAATTATCAAAACTAATAGAAAATTAAATACAATCATATCATGATTTATTCCACATATTCTATACTACTAATTTCTTGCTTCTTATACTAAGTCAAAATAAAGTATTCATTTTTAGTTTTTTAGTTAAAAAAATAAATTTAGATATTTAAGTAATAAATGGAACATAATTTAGTAATAAAAAAAGTTTATTTTTATATAAATATAAAACATCATAAAATTGAGTATTTAAATTTTGATTAATACAATATTACTTATTTTTGATATCCTTGATTAAAAGTTGTTTTTGTTATTTGTATATTGAACCAAATATCTAAAATTGTTCTTATTAATTTTACTAGATATAAATTTAAAGAAATGATAGGTTTTTTTGGTTTAATTAAGAAAAATAGCCTTGATTTTAATTTCTTTAAACTATTTATCTTTTTATAATTAGTTATAATAATCGTGTAATAAATATGGATTAATTGAGAAGAATATATTCTAATTCTTTTTTATTAAAATGGGAATAAGAATAAGTTAGCGATAAATAAATTTATCAATTTATAATTAAATAATTTTTAATTATAATTTTCAATAAATGAATTTATTTTATTTTTCTTTAAAGAATAATATTTTGGATTTAAATTAATTTTTACTATGAATTAATTATAATTAATATTTATTATTATTATCTCTTACCTACCTAAGAACAAAATTTTATTTTTTAATTATTTTTTTAATTTAAATAAATATATACAAATATGAGAAAAATTATATTTTTATCATTCCGGGGAGAATAATTTTTCTGATTTAGTTTATTTTTTATTAAACAAGATTTTAATTAGAATATTATTATTAGTTTTTATTAATTCTGACATATTAAGCTTATTAAATCAATTATATTATGTGCATAAATGTGAGAGAATAATTACTAAATATTAGATGTATCTGTTATGCATAGTTTACACATGAAAATAATGAAGAGATTAATTTTTTGGATTCACGTTTATTTTTCTTTTAAAATTGATAGTAATCAATAGGCATATAATTGTGATTATTCATTGTTTATTTTTCACTATAAATTAAATAGGTTATGTTTATGAAGTAAAAAATATTAATCTCAAATTATTATCACTAATACCAAAAAAGTATTATTATTTAATGATTTTTCAAAGTTAGAGACATATAATAAGAAAATAAAAATTTATAAAGTAAAACTTAGAATTTAAGATATTGAATTTTGTTTAAGAATAAACTCATTAAACAATAAAATTAAAAATTCAAAAAATTAACATCATTTCAGATAAACTTTTTTTTATTTGTCAAAAAACCAATTTGGTAATGATTTATGAATCAAAGAGGAAGTATAGAAAGGATTCTTAATTAATTCTAAAATAAGACATTATATAGTATCCATTATCAGTAGAAAGAATTTATTTAAATTAAATTCCTTTAACTTGTATATAAGATTAAAAATAATAATTAAAATTTATGGGGTGTTCTGTCACAAAATCTAAAATAGAGTAGAATCTAAATAAATCTAAAACAGATAAATTTGAATCATATTTGAT